GATGGACCATGAACCTTTGGCATGATCTCCAAAGATTTTTTCTTCACTTTTAGGTGCTTCCAATGTAGATATGGATTTGGATCTTGGATCCTTTCTTCTTTTACTTCGTGGAGTTCCCAACGGAAAACAAAGATCTGGAGATTTGGTGAATTATAGTTGAACCAATATCCGACTTATTTGAATGTGATGAATTTGTGCCCTCGATTTTGAATGCTCTTGACTCATGACCTGAGGAGGTTATGAACACATAAATTGGGGATTGATATGAGATCTTGGAAATTAGAAGAATCAAAATTTATTTTCCATAAACGACACTAGTGTTCCGTTCAAGAATCCGAAATAGATGTAGTTGGCAAACTGAATGTCTTGACACAATGGTGTTGATCTTTGTTAGGGAGGCACAGTGTTAACCTGTATTGCTAGAACTCAAACCCTCAAGTCAATTCATGATTCAATATGAGTATCGTGAAGATGAGTTGAGTCTTGACTACTTAGACTTTTTTCCAGCCCAGAACAACACCTAAAGCTTAATTGCTAAATGTAATTTCACTTTAAGTTTTTCATTAACACAAAGTGAGACATTAGTGGAAAGATAATTCATACATTAAAAAACATAAGGGTTAATACACCTTTTACCCCTTTCCATTTAGGGCGAATTCGAAAAAGGAACCTGTAAAAAACACATATTTCTTCCTTGCCATTTGAAGATTCTCCACTTTTAGACCTTAAGTGGATCTGGTCAACTAAGACGCTGATGTGGTATTGACAGTGTGGTATTTTTTACACTATTCACTTAAGTAACAACCTACGTGTAATTTAAATATGTTAATAATTAGATTTATAATAGATAGTGTGGCATTTCTTAATTGATTAATTCCATTTTACTAATTAATAAAACAAACAATTTAAAATGAAATGGGATAAATCATCTTCTTCATTTCCTCATTCGTGTTTGCAGCTAGTGTTCAAATTCTTCATTTCCTCTTCCGTGAACTTCAGTTCGTACCTCCATTAAATAGAAAATTACTAGAAGCGCGAGTTCAGGTTACATAATGGGAATACAGTGAAAATTAATGTTGAGAGACCAATTCCAACAATACCACCAAAGTTTGGTAGTTTCTACTTCTGTTTTAATTGGAGCAAGAAAGGGTTTCTTAATGGTTGCAGACCATTTATTGGTGTAGATGGGTGTCACTTGAAGACAAAGAATGGTGTCCAATTACTTATTATTATGGCTAGGGATCCTAATAACCAGTACTTTCCTTTAGCCTTTGGTGTTGTGGAAATAGAGACAAAGGAAAGTTGTAGGTGGTTCTTACAACTTCTTATGGAAGATATTGTGCAACACTGAAGATATGTATTTATATCAGACCAACAATTTCCCCATTGCTTCAACTGATGCATCAATTTCACCATGAAAATAGTCAAATGTAGGTTCAATCATTTGTCCTACTACATGCTTAGTCATTTGTCTAACTACAAGCTTAGTAACCTGGTCATTTGTAGGCTTATCCACTTGCTCAATTGCAGGGTCATCCACTTGCTCATTTGTAGGCTCATCCAGTTTTTCATTTGTATTAGCAGGTTTAGCTCTAGGTGTTTTTCTCTAAGACACCAAAACACAAACATCATAAGTTATGCTCCATAATACATGATACAATACTTAACAAACATGTAACACAAGACAAAAACAAAAAATAGACAAACCTTTCTCTTTAATGCAACATGGATTTTTTCTTTACTCTGACATTTTCTTGAGTTATGGTCAATCTTGTCACACTTAATTCACCTGTAACTAACACGAGGCAATCACATTTTAGAACCATTTTCATCAAGTTCTCTAAACTTAAGTTTCCTAGGTCTACCTGGATCTTTCTTAAATGATGGTGAAAGCATATCCTCAGCATCAACCTTGGGCCACATATCCATCCCATTAGTAAGATTAACATTTTATGAGTAACAGTTACTATATGTTTCTCTACTATAGCAGTCATCTACAAAATTTTATGGCTCCAACTTCTGATAACTCATAGTAGCTATGGCATGTCTACATGGAATGCCCACAAGATCCCAAAAACCGCATGTACATGTTATTAGAGAAATAATGGTGTTTTTCTTATTGATAAAATAGTGAATGATTACATGAACTTATAACTGATTACATGAGAGAATTAGAACAGAATATTCTCCAACAACTATATCAGGAAGGCCTAAATAGGAAAGAAAATAAGGCTAGAAAAAGGAAAGAAATGATAAGTAATTAAATCCAGAGGCTAGTAAATAAGAAATAAATATCAAGTAATTAATTCCTAATAGCCCCCCTTTAAGCTGGAGAATATATGTTTAACAGTCCCAGCTTAGCAAAAATTGCAGAAAATGGTTGGGGTTCCAGCGGTTTGGTGAACAAGTCTGCCAGTTGATTGTTAGAAGTGATTGGAAGTAAATGAAAAAGGCCGACTTGAAGTTGTTGACGGACAACGTGACAATCAATATCAATATGTTTGGTTCGCTCATGGAATGTTGGATTCATAACAATATGTCGAGCAGAGTTGCTGTCCCAATATAAAAGAGCCAATTTTATGAATGGGATGTGTAGGTATTAAAGTAAGTATGTAAGCCATTGAAGTTCACAAGTGGTAGAAGCTATAACTCTGTATTCAGCTTCAGAGGAGGAATGAGAAACCGTTGTTTGCTTCTTTGAGCGCCAGGAAATTAATGAAGAACCCATGAAAATGCAGAAACCGGTGGTGCATCTATGAGACACGGGGCAAGTTGCCCAATCTGAATTACTGAAGGCCTTGAGATGTATCGATGAATCAGAAGAGAAATGTAAACCATGTCTAGGAGCATTTTTAATCTAACGAACAATTCTAATAGCAGCTTCATAGTGATTTGTGGTTAAATTTTGCATAAATTGACTTAAATATTGAACAGAAAAACTGATGTCGGGGCGATTATTTGTCAAGTAGAGAAGACGACCAATGAGACGTCGAAAGGCAATTGTATCATGAGGAGGAGAAGTAGTATCGTAGAGAGGTTTTATGTCTTTGATCATTGGAGTGGTAAAAGGTTTGGCTGCAAGCGTCCCTGTATCAGCAAGAATATCTAATGCATATTTGCGTCGGCTTAAGTGAATTCCTTTGTTGGTGCGAGAAACTTCAAGGCCAAGAAAATATTGAGATTACCTAAATCTTTGATACGGAAAGTAGAATGAAGAAACCTTTTAACGTGATTTATTTATGTTAAATCATTTCTGATGAGGACTATGTCGTCTACGTAAACTAGGAGAGCATTGAAAGTGTTGAGAGATGACTTGATGAATAATGAGTGATCATATTTTGAATGATGATAGCTGATACTAGTAAGCGCGGAAGACAATTTGTTGTTGTAGAGCCTATTTCTTCTTGCCCCTTGATTCAAGTTGAATCAAGTCCTTCGAACGCGGTGAATAAACCTCCGATTACGACACTCTCTTTAAACAACCTTCGGTCTTTAAATTTGGCCCGACTGATTTCAGTCACCCACGTGTCGAACCCGAATCTTCCACTCACATTCCTCCGTTTACTGCTACTAAACCGATAGAAACTCCCGCTCTTCGATTACCTTCGCTCGGCTGAACCTGCGATGAACCAATTCGTACAAAAACCCCCAAAATCTGAGATTCTTGGAGGACAAAACCCTAACGGTTTTATTCAAGAAAAACCTGCCGATTACTCAACCCAAACCAGATTAAACCAATCTTCGGCTTTGGATGTTATCACCTCGAACATGCACAATGCACAATAAAAATGATTATGTGTAGTTGTTGTGAAATGCTATGAAGAGAATGAAGATGATGAGAACGAATCGACACGTAAATTTCACTTTTCTTGTTTTCTTAGTTGATGTGAAAGGAATAGTATAACTCAACTTATATACAAAACATAACTGACTTAACAAACATAACTGACTCACAAAACAATTTGACATAACAAAATTTTGACTCTACACAACGAGTGGTCGACCTATGCAGTAAGGGGGTCGATCTGACCTTACCCGTATACATGATTATACAAAAATCAGGACCATGCGCCGACCGGAGCATGACATGCATCGACG